TCTACTCCATGTAATTGGAAATAGAGATGGAGTAATTATCCTCCCCACAAACTTCTGTATGGAGTTTTTGTATCCTCGTTTCTCTAAAAATATAATTATATTTCCTGAAGCTAGGTGCAAACCATTACGTGTCATTTCCTTCCTCTATTAATCATTTCTACTCCATGTAATTGGAAATAGAGATGGAGTAATTATCCTCCCCACAAACTTCTGTATGGAGTTTTTGTATCCTCGTTTCTCTAAAAATATAATTATATTTCCTGAAGCTAGGTGCAAACCATTACGTGTCATTTCCTTCCTCTATTAATCATTTCTACTCCATGTAATTGGAAATAGAGATGGAGTAATTATCCTCCCCACAAACTTCTGTATGGAGTTTTTGTATCCTCGTTTCTCTAAAAATATAATTATATTTCCTGAAGCTAGGTGCAAACCATTACGTGTCATTTCCTTCCTCTATTAATCATTTCTACTCCATGTAATTGGAAATAGAGATGGAGTAATTATCCTCCCCACAAACTTCTGTATGGAGTTTTTGTATCCTCGTTTCTCTAAAAATATAATTATATTTCCTGAAGCTAGGTGCAAACCATTACGTGTCATTTCCTTCCTCTATTAATCATTTCTACTCCATGTAATTGGAAATAGAGATGGAGTAATTATCCTCCCCACAAACTTCTGTATGGAGTTTTTGTATCCTCGTTTCTCTAAAAATATAATTATATTTCCTGAAGCTAGGTGCAAACCATTACGTGTCATTTCCTTCCTCTATTAATCATTTCTACTCCATGTAATTGGAAATAGAGATGGAGTAATTATCCTCCCCACAAACTTCTGTATGGAGTTTTTGTATCCTCGTTTCTCTAAAAATATAATTATATTTCCTGAAGCTAGGTGCAAACCATTACGTGTCATTTCCTTCCTCTATTAATCATTTCTACTCCATGTAATTGGAAATAGAGATGGAGTAATTATCCTCCCCACAAACTTCTGTATGGAGTTTTTGTATCCTCGTTTCTCTAAAAATATAATTATATTTCCTGAAGCTAGGTGCAAACCATTACGTGTCATTTCCTTCCTCTATTAATCATTTCTACTCCATGTAATTGGAAATAGAGATGGAGTAATTATCCTCCCCACAAACTTCTGTATGGAGTTTTTGTATCCTCGTTTCTCTAAAAATATAATTATATTTCCTGAAGCTAGGTGCAAACCATTACGTGTCATTTCCTTCCTCTATTAATCATTTCTACTCCATGTAATTGGAAATAGAGATGGAGTAATTATCCTCCCCACAAACTTCTGTATGGAGTTTTTGTATCCTCGTTTCTCTAAAAATATAATTATATTTCCTGAAGCTAGGTGCAAACCATTACGTGTCATTTCCTTCCTCTATTAATCATTTCTACTCCATGTAATTGGAAATAGAGATGGAGTAATTATCCTCCCCACAAACTTCTGTATGGAGTTTTTGTATCCTCGTTTCTCTAAAAATATAATTATATTTCCTGAAGCTAGGTGCAAACCATTACGTGTCATTTCCTTCCTCTATTAATCATTTCTACTCCATGTAATTGGAAATAGAGATGGAGTAATTATCCTCCCCACAAACTTCTGTATGGAGTTTTTGTATCCTCGTTTCTCTAAAAATATAATTATATTTCCTGAAGCTAGGTGCAAACCATTACGTGTCATTTCCTTCCTCTATTAATCATTTCTACTCCATGTAATTGGAAATAGAGATGGAGTAATTATCCTCCCCACAAACTTCTGTATGGAGTTTTTGTATCCTCGTTTCTCTAAAAATATAATTATATTTCCTGAAGCTAGGTGCAAACCATTACGTGTCATTTCCTTCCTCTATTAATCATTTCTACTCCATGTAATTGGAAATAGAGATGGAGTAATTATCCTCCCCACAAACTTCTGTATGGAGTTTTTGTATCCTCGTTTCTCTAAAAATATAATTATATTTCCTGAAGCTAGGTGCAGACCATTACGTGTCATTTCCTTCCTCTATTAATCATTGATTTTTTTTTCTTTTTTTATCTTGTTCACCAAGATATGTGGGTTTTTCCGTTTTGTTCAAACCTAATATTTCAATATATTGTCACATTTATTACTTACTTTCGTTTTCTATAAGTTTAGTGCTCAAATTTTGATCAAAATAAGTATTTTAAACTTTTTTAACAGTAAATAAAAGTTCAATTCTCTACATTCGCCCAAATTTTATGCACTAACAATACTTTGAAATTTAAACAAACCCAATTTCAAACTATGTATTCTAGCAATGATATAATTCATCAATCTTCTTGCTCCTAAAAATCTCAACATAATGGTGATAGCTAAATTTGTTGCCTGAACTTTACTGTTTCATATGAATATTTCTCAACAATTGGGAGGGCGATATCATTTTGACCACCTATCACATAAATCAAATTTCATCCCTTCTTTGATAATCATTCATTTATTTATCTTTTATATTCTAGCCAACCCTCATTTTCTCTTGCACCAAAAATATTTGGTTGTTTGATTTGTTTGTCTAATAATCGCATGACAGATCTCTTGTATCATTCGATGAATATTTGTTTTGTAATCTTGCTATCAAAAAACATATATTAATGTTAAGATATTCTTACCAGCATTTACACACTTCCATTGATGCTAACATTCATAAGCCAATGCTTTTCTTTCTCCCTCCTCAAAAGTCATCAAATGTTCACCATCCTCTATTAACTCTTGTACCCATGTCGCCCAACTAGAAATTTACGCTTGATGACTTGGACCTTCACAACAATGGCTCCATTTATATTATCATCTTTAAATTCTCAAAAACTACTTTTTGTCATACAAAAATAATCATATTGTGTTTTATTAAATTCATTCTTATAAGTAATAATATGATTATCTCTTTTCTTAAATAAAGTACTAGCGATACTCCAATATGATACCACATTCTTCATTAATCACTCCAAAATCGTAGTCACCATGATTTTTTTAAAAAACTTTTACCGCTACAAACATGCTCATTTAAATCTCCTCCAATAAAAATTCCTTCTTTAAAAGATAACATTTGTATTAATTCTTCTAGGTAATTCAATTTTTTTTCTTTTGAACATATATTGGATATGAATCTTCTACCACTCTTAAAGTATTTGAGACACCATTTAATCAAATGACATAGGATATGAATCCGAAAGCACTTACTCCTTCATGAAGCTCTTCCATACAACGAAGAATATTGGATACACTACTTATACCAACCAACCCAGTTACTCAACCTAGTAAACCTTGAAAATAAATAAATTAAGCAGCATAGACACACGATAAACAGTAGCTTAAAGGACATGTTTTTGCTCTGATTACTAAAATAGTAGCTTAATGAATGAACCATAAAAGGGAGAATCTAGATGGATAAACCCTGTCTTCAAGGATGAAGTTATCAAGATATATGATAGATATTATTAATGAGCTATCACTATTTAATGTTGGGATTAGTAAACATTCAATCCTTGTCACATCAAGAACAAAATAATTAATGTATCTCCATTAAGAAAAACTCTTCATTGTTATAGTGATCTATGAAAAGACTAGCATGTAATCTAATTAATTCGTCATAAGATAGATGGTTGTTCGAACGGTTCAAGAATCTGAGAACTCGCATCTCAAACATACCATCAGCAAATCATGCAATAAAAGTTCCTTCTCTAAATCCTCACCCCACGTTAAAAAAATCAAGTAATATTTAAAAGAACTAATGAAATTCATATGAAAAGATTGAACCTTCAAACGATGATCATGCATCTTCTAATAAGTGAAATCTAACCTAAGAAAAAAATTACAATTGGGCATGTACCATTTAATGCAAATTACAAGTTATGAAGATGACAACACTTCCCACATATTCTTGTAACTAAAAAAAAATCATTTTTTGAAGAAATAGGAGATAGTTTTAAGACTAATTGGACAACGCTTAAATAAAAATATTATGAAATAGATATCAGCATAGTTCATTAACAATTTGCTATTAATTCCATTTGTTTGGAGAATACAAAAATCAATAGTCCATTTTACATTTTCAGATGCGTGCAAAAGAGGAAAATAGGCAACAAGATAAGAAATTAGTTTAGTCAACTCCAACGATCCCCTTTCAATTCCACTGTTCTTAAAAAGACAGATTTACTGTGAAGAATTATGCATTTCAGCATACATCCCAATAGATTAGCAACTCTCAATTCCATTTAAATGTAAATTTTCAATCATTTTTTTACGATGCCATTTAAAAGATGCCTAAAGTGAATGAGAAAGCGAATTGCAAAAACTCAATTCAAGGATATCTTCATCCTCCATTCTTTTTTCTTTGATTCACAGAAAATCCCAAAGGTAAATTACAGGATTACGCTCTTATCACATATTGCTATGACTCCTCTAGTTAAAAAAAATATTACTCATCATCATTAACAAAAAAAGTAACATCATTGTCACCAGCCTTGTTCCAACATCACAGCTTAAAAAAATGCTTTAGCATTAGCAAAAAGTGATCGAAATTCACTCAAACACTCTTCTCAACAGTAAGAGAATCATGGAGTGAGCATAACAAGTGAATCCATCAAAGCATATTTTCCAAAATAAAATAGAATGTTGAAAGTAAATAACACAAATACACATTAATGGTTTGCTTTGAGGTGATAGTCTAGTTGACACAAAAGAATAAAAATGCATGTGTGTGTGTGTGTGTGTGTGTGTGTGTGTGTGTGTGATTACAATCAACAAGAAACTAAATATCAACATAGCTAGATGCTAATGTTCCTTTCTTGAAGAATCCATGCCTCAATAAATAACTCATAAACGACACTAATAAATAAATCAATGAATCACAAAAAACCACAGAGACTGCATTTAAATACTGGGAATGTTTCTTAAACCAAGATATCAAGAAACAACTATCACGAACCAAGAAAAAAAAAAGCTTTATGAAGGTAAAAGTTAAAAAAGCTAGCCTGGGGAGCTCGATAGCCATCTTCGTAGGCATTTTGCACAACAGCATGTTGTCGGGAGGACTCATTCTCCTTGTATCCCACATTGCTACCATATGATCCCCCTAAGTGAATCAAGAAAAATAGAGGTGTAAAATATTTCAGGAGGATTTACAAATATAACACTCAATTCTAATGTATTTGCATATTTAGTACCAAAAGTTCAAGTTATACATAGATGCCACCTTACCTATGCATGAAAAGGATTCACATATATACCACTCAATTCTTATGTATTCGCATATTTAACACCTAAACTTCAGCTTTTACATTGATGCCACCTTAGCTATCCATGAAAAAGGTGCATTTCACTTTTTTAAAGTTAAAATAGTGGTATTTTTTATGAATGATTTGGATGGTATAAATGTTAAAATAACATGTAAAAAATGAAATTTAAGTGTTAGATATGTAAATACATAAGAATTGGCTGGCATGTATGTAAACGCCAAAAGATTTAATGATGGCCATAAATAGGCCAGAAAAATATCAAAAAACAGAGTAATCAAGCATATGTACCTGTCTTATCAGCGTGAGCAGCATTCACCAATTCCCTCTGAAGCTTTTCCACCTCCCCAAGCATTGAAACATAGTTCTTCTCCATAACTTGAAGTGACTCATGATGATCAATTCGCAATTTTCTTTCATTATCATAAGTATCACTGCATAAGAAGTGGTTTCACAATGCTAGAGCATCCCATCATCTCATAGAAACAGCATTAAAAATATAACTGAAACTAATCAAACTAGTCATTACCTGCAATGCTGATACTCCTTCCTTAGAACATCTAATTCGGATATCAAAGAGGGAATCTGTTGTGCATCTCCATGACTTTTCTGCAGATCCAGGGTCAATTCCTGCACTTTAGAAATCAGCTCCTGTCTAGCTGCAAACAAGCTCTGAGCTTCTGCATGCGCTTGTTGTAGCTCCACCTTAAGAGGCTCGGCAGCTCTAATGTCAGCTTCCATCTTCGCAAATGTATCGAGCATCGCCATCATCTTCTGTTCATGCTCGAATTTTCCAGCGGACATATGCGTTTGCAACCTCTGCAGCTCATGCTGAGCCGCTGCTAATTCATGCCTCAAAGCTGAATGAGTAGCTGCTAGTCTTTGGTTCTCGCTGGCAAGCGTTTGCATCTCCATATGCTGCGCAGCAAGCTTCTGTTCAATAACATCTGGCGGAAGCACATGAGGCAAAGCGCCGAGTGGCGGACGAACGCCAGGACCAAAAGGCTCTGGGTGGAACATTCCCGGACCTGGAAGTGCCCTACGCATATTAAGCGGCATGCGGCCATTACTTCCCATGGAAACCATTCAACTCACCCCGCTATATACCTTGTAGATTGACAAAGAAATATAAGGGAAAAAAAATAGCGTATTCATATAGAAGATAAAAAAAAACTGCTGAAGATCTTAACAGGAACAGATTGAAAACACAGATGAAGAACTTAACTGGAACACAACCGCTCGCCGTCTACAAGCACGAGCGAGGGAGTAGACGACCGTGAGTCCTTATGGCGACTGCGAAGGAGGAATTAGGGTTATGGTTCGGGATTTAGGGAAATTAAAAAGCGGACCGGACCACCCGATGAAATGAGATAATTAAACTTTTATTTTATTAGTTTATTCACATATTTAATATTTAAAGTATTTTTTTTTTATATATTCTACTATCTTCTAAATACCATAAAATATTTTTGGGGAGTTTATATGAAGGCCACCCAACTTCTATTTATTTACATATCCAACAACTAAACCTTACTTATTTATGTTTAATTTAACTTAATGTATATTAATAAACAGTCGAGAATAAACAGAACATAGGAATATTTCAAAAACATGATCAAAATTAGAACGTTCCATGTATTTTCAAAGAGAATACAAGTTGATAGCTCAATTACTTCAATCAACTTGCCTTAATTTGACGAGACTTCGAATCATCATAATTTGATATGGCAAATGCATCATCTTCAAACAATCTCATTTTTGTGATGTCTCGAACTACGCCAACGAAAGTAATAGTGTAATTCAAGGTTTTTTTAGTCTTTCTCTCTATGTAGTCGTTTATGTAACTTTTCATTGGCTCGGCCATTCCAGGACATATAAATATGAGAGTTCATTCTCAAGGGAGAGGGGGCTCTCTTCTTTTTTATTAGTTGTTAAGTCATCTTCTCCATTTTCTTTTCTCTTGCAAGCTATGCCTAAGTAATGTGAGACCACCAACATTTCTAGATTAAACATTCTATGAGGTGCAATGAGAGTAGATCATGCCACTGACTTTAGATGTTATATTGGTTTTCTATATTTGTAATTCAAATAGAAGTTACCAAAGTTGAGAGCAAGGAAAGCTCTACCAATGACATCTATTAAAGGCCTATTCAAGTATGCTCTTGGTCTATAGTGCCCTAAAACCACGACAGAGCTCTTGGAGTTGGTGAATAGCCACATAACCTTTGAAGAGTATAATTTTCTCTCGAGTTCGTCATGAGTAAGGAATTGAGTGTAAAGAGGTCAATTCATGAGGCATCTACTTAAAAAACAAATGGACATAAGAAGTCATCTTGGTCAAAGGATCTGCATAGAACTTTTGTGGAGAGAAAAAAATTACTTAATGGAGAGGAGCAACCGGTTCTAAAGAAGGCTGATGGAGAAAACATAGAAAAGAAGGCCTTAATTTCCTATTCATTCAATTTAAACAATGACTCTGTTGATAGCCTCAATAGTTAAAGTCATCAAGGCCATACAAAATAAGTTGCTCTTTAAAACATCTGCATCGATGAGGTCGGCGATCACTTATATAACATGAAAAAATTCATGTATACCATAAAAATCATGGTCATGATACCAAACTTAAAAATTTTAATTGAAGAACTAATTAACGCAAGGAAGTTGAAAACTATTTGTGACACAAGACGTAAATTAAAAGAAAAGCGAATAAGCCCATGAAAGAAGCATGGAACGAGCTGTCCCAACACATTTTTTTTCATATTGTACGAGTATTACCCACACTTTTAGGAGGAGATGGACCGGAGGCTTCTCACCTATATAGCCACAAACAACTTAAGTCGGGAGAGGTGAACTTGGCACATACTTCAAGGTAAAAAGTATTGGCTCAACTGTTGATCATCATTACTATGAAAACTTGCCAACAAATCAGAGTTTATATAATGATGCAATTGTGATCATGGTATTGGTTATGAACTATCATATAAGGAGTATTATGATTGACATTGGCAGCTAAGTTGATATCTTGATCAATAAGGTACTTGAGAAGATGAATATTGGGAATTCACACTTGGCGCTAACTTCAATACTGTTATATAGGTTTTCAAGAGAGAAGGTGGAGGTGTGTGGTTTAATCTCTTAGTCAATGATATGAGGGGGAATAAAACAAGAAAGCATTATAACAACAACCTTTGTAGTATTAAATGCTCCTGCTTCATTTTTGGTAGACTAATTATAAACACATTCAAGGTTATAGACCAAACTTATCATGTAATTGTTATATTCAGTAGAAGTGGATAGGTGATCATGGTGCAAAGTTATTTGGTGCAATCTAGGACATACTATTTGAAAGTTATGGGAAATGTGTAGGAAGATGTCATACAACTTAGTTAAAAAAGAAAGTGGATTGAAGGCAACATAAGCTATTCAGGAAGTTATTGCATAAAGAAAAGTAATGAGAAGAAGTTTTTGTGTTAGTTCTAACTTCAATGCCTGGTTGAAATGTGATATGATCTCTATTTTGAGAGAAATGAGAAGAAGTTTTTGTGTTAGTTCTAACTTCAACTTTGAGAGGCGCCTATTTGTAGAAAGTATATAAGTTTTTGGAAGCTAAAATTATCAAGGAGGTGCACTACTCATAAAAATGTGAATGTGATTATGGTGTTCAAATCTAATCTGAAATGAAGAATGTGTATAGATTTCACCAACTAAAACTATGTTTGCATGAAAGATTGGTACCTTGCATTTTGAATTGATGCATTTGTTAACTCTATAATTGTTCATTCAACAATAAGTTATTTAGATATATTTTTTAGGTTATCACCAGATTAAAATGTATTTGGTAAATAACAAAAAAATATTTATATTAATATATATGGGATTTATTACTATCATGTAATGCATTTTATGTTAAGAAATATCAAGGCTACTTGTTAAAGATTTATGGATATAATTTTTGCAAATTAAAACTTTTTTTTAAGTTTGCATCAATGATCTTCTAATAAAAAATAAATTACTTAAGCAATATATATAATTTGAAAGAAATATTTAATACTTTAAGAAAGTTCAACGTGAAACTAAACTAATTTAAATATATTGTTGGTGCTTATTTAAAAAAAAATGGGTTACTTACCTACACTAGAAGTTATAAAGGTGAATCGATTAAAAGTACAAGTTATCTTAGATATGTCATCCCAAAAAAATTATGTGCATACTACTTCAACTAAAGTTCATTGATAGGAAGCATCAAATGTTCGCTTTTAGAATAAATAAGATGGCAGGAACTTCTTTGCTAGTTTTTCTCCACCATAAATAGTCGTTTCCACTTTGGCTTGAATTTACCTCCCATCCAAGGATGATTTAAAATCAGTCATTGAAGTACTAAGACTCATTTGTCTACTCAAAGGTTTTATAATGAACTGAATAAATTGAAGCTTGAGTCATCTAAGATTTATATAACTCAAGATTTTATTAGGCTTGTGCACACTTCTCCAAAATTAAGATCTTAAATTTCTACAAACCAAATTTCATTATTCCACTTAGCAATAATTTCATTATTAACAGTAATTCTCAATGATGAAAATTGTACTTCTAAGTGTAGCATAGCCTTAGCCCTATAGAATAAGGTTAAAAAAAATGGACTAGGTCAAGATCCTATAAGTGGTTTGATAGGCCCTCTAGGCTTTGGCTAACCTTCAATGCCACTAGCTTTTATTCCCATCCTAAATTTTCTTCAAGATTTGGATGAGCATGTAATTAAAGTCCTCGGCCAATACATTAGCACACTAATAATAAATGGTTAAGTATCTCTAATTAATATTATGCTAATGAAAAAAATTATTAGTTTTAGTACTCTTAAACGTGATACTATTATCAGATATGATTCAATGTGGAATATCATATTAATAAACGATATGGTTCTTAAGAAACTAGAGCATGTGGTGAGCTTTGAATTGCTTTAGTGGCGCGGCTTCTGCTTAGAAAAGCAATCATTTAAAAGGCCGTGAGAGGATATTTAGATGCAAAATATTGTGCGACTGAAGCAAATTACACCATACACATGGAACATGCAATGCTAATGCAGATTTTCATCAGTGATGGCCAATAATACCACAATCACTTTATTTTAGCTTTCATTTTGAGTTTAGACTAGTGAGCACCATAAAACCCAACATGTACTTCCATTGTCACCTTCCGACTTCTTGTCTGATAGTCATGCAAAAGAAAATAAAGAGGGCAAATTAGCTTATGAGTTAGTGTCTTTTCCTAGAGAGTGGGGGAGAATAAATTCTTAACTCTCATACTCAAGTTTATAAGAGATTTGAAACTTCTAAGCTCTTTAGAGGACATCTTGAGAAGAGTCGATCCCTCCTCAAGAAAATGTTTCAGTATGGTGGAATCAACCACTGACTCTTGCTTCAAACAAAGCAGAATTTACTCTTTTAACACATGACTTTGGTCTCCAAGCCAAGCATTTAACCTGTATATAGAAAAATAGGGCTAAATCATCCTTGTAGGCTTTCACCATGAATAGTATCAAAAGAAGTTGATCGCTTAGAAGAACTTGTTTGATTGCATATAAATAATCATTGTTATTATACTTGCGAAAGAGTTTGGTAGAATTTGAGTTGGAATAAATCTATAGAAATTAAAGATGTCCACCAACTTGGAACATAGAGGAAATCGAAGACCCAACCTAAATTTGTCTTGATAAGACTATAATTGTGATTATAGAGGACATTGGGTACTTTACTTCTTTGGTCGAGTGAAGAGTTATAACATCATTATTGATGTAATTCACCTAGACTTCATGGAGTGATATGTCACTCAAACATTAGCCAGCTAGAAGAGAATTCTCATCAAACGCCTTATGACTTTTCTAGAACACAAAAATCATTTTTGTAGAAAGTAAGGAGATGGTGGCAGGATAGTTGCAAAAGGGAATTACTAGGATTTATTCACATGATAGATGATAAGAAAAATATAAAATAATATAAGTATAAAAAGTGGATTTTAATTTTTATATATTATTATAATAGAAGATCAATAGTGTAAACAAAAAAAAATTATCAAGTATAAGACTCGTGTAATAAAAAATAAAACTAATAAAATTGTGAAATTGACTCTTGAGGTTTATTTATTTAATAACTCTCTATTTCTTAAAATAATCATTTCATTTTTTACTAACTAGAATATTACATAATTAATAATAATTAAAAACTGGAGACACGACTCTTTTACAACATTAGAATTTATCTTCCAAACTGAAGAAGTCGTTGTGGCACTAGCCTTCCTCTTAAAAGGAATTGATCACATTGAGTTGACTTTAGGTGTCATTAATATAGGTTCA